GGCTCCGCATCCCGGTGACGCGGGCCAACCGCGCTGCGTTGCGGCTCCACTGCGCTCCTCCGCTGGTCCGTCCGCCCGGCCCGCGCCCGCCGCCCGCATGGCGCTGCGCAGCTTCTGCAGCGCTGATGGCTCCGACCCCTTCTGGGTAGGTGACTGGGAGGACCGGGAGGAGGACGCGAGGGCCCGGCCGGTCCCCAGCCCCGCGGTGCAGTCTCGGGGACCAAGCCTGCCGGGCCCGGAGCGCTGCCGATGCGGCCGGACCCGGGGGACCCAGTTCCGGGAAAGCCGGGCATGTGCCTCTGGGGCTTTGGAGGCTGGGGCCTCTCGGCTTTGGGGTCCTGCCCTCTGGCAAACCTTCTTCCAAAGCGGGAGGACGCCAGACCTGCAGGCCGCCGGGTGGGCATGTCTCCCTGCCTCTGTCCTTTGTGGGGTCTGGTCCCGGTTCACTCCAGACACTGAGCTGGAGAGGAGCTGAGGCTCTAGAGAGGGACTTCCCACCGATTGGGTTGGGGTCCCCCCACTGGTCGTTTTACCTCCGGCTTACTCGGAGGCCACGGACGTTAACATCCTTCCTTTCTGCCTAAATGCTACCAGGGAAGTTGAAGGAAACAGGAGAGAGGATAGATGTCCTGGCGTGTCCCATCGTCCCCCCCGGGCGGGCTTGGGGTGCAGTGGAAGATACCCAGAACCCTGCTACCCAGGGATGTTGCCTTCCAGGCGTGGAGGCGTCTCTCTGGGGATGCCTCTTCTGAAATGTGGCCTGCTGACTCTAGCTAGGCTGGGCCCCCAGCAGACCCTAGGTTGGGCCCCCAGCTGACTGCTCTAATCCCGGATGCTTGTGGCTCCTGTCGCTGTAATGCGGTTTGCCCCTTGTTCTAGAATCCTGTATCGTGCTTTCCTGATTATTAGTAAACACAATAGGCCAATCTGACATAATGCCTTTTCTTTTGGTTTGGGAAACAGGAAAAACACCCTTGTTTCTTGGGAGCTGGTGATTAGCATCCACAGATACTTTCTTGTCTTGTTTGGGAGACCTTCCCCAACAGGTTGCATTAGAAGTGGTGAATAGCGTGGCCTTTAAAGGCCCCTCTGGGAAGCTTTAGGTTTTTGGATGGGAGAGTGTTATTTTTGGTTGAACAACCACCTACCCTTGCATATGTTTCCCATTTTTAAGCTTAAGGGGATTGGAGATATCTACCAGGGCTAGAGATAGCACCTGTGGGTTGCATTTGGGGATCTGGGAGAGAGTGGTACTTGTGTGCCATAGGGGAACACCTGTGTGTCCACTACCCTGTACCAGGTGTTGTGAGAGCCAAAATATTCAGCAAGTACTCCTGTGAGACCTGGCTCAGTGTTGTATCGATTCAGGAGTGTTTGTTTATCTTCTCTGTAGGTGACCAGGAATTAGATACTCTACCAGGATGTGTGTTTGTGTGTTGGTGTTTATATACATATACTCGTGCCATGACATGCATGTAGAGGTCAGAAGATAACCTGCTAGAGTTGGTTCTCTCCTTCCACCTTGTAGGCTCTGGGGATCCATCTCAGGTTGTTAGGCTTGATGGCAAATGTCTTTACCAGATGAGCTGTCTCGCCAACTCATACTGGAATGTATTCTATTGCTGACAGCTTTGCAGTGATGGGTAAAGAGATGCTTGGGGTGTTCTCTGTCCTTTAATCAGCTAAGAAGCCCACCTTAGAAACCCAGTTGTGTGTTCTCTCTCTCTAGGAACTTTTTACCACAGAAGTTTTAAGATGGTTGCATTATGCTTGGCAGAGTGGTGGCTGGCCTTCACAGAGTCCAGGTTCCCATCCTTACAGTTTTAGTTTTCCAGACTTCCTTGCCCCACCTTCCTCTGGCCTCTAGGCCTGCTGGATGCCCCAGTTGCAGTGTCTGCTCTGGAACCAGACTTGGTGAGTGGGCAGTTGGTGAGCAAGAACTTCCTTGTAGCCAGAGAATGCAAATATAATGGAGTGGGTAGCTTGGCCCTGAAGGGAGGCATACACCTGGAATTTCGGCATTTGGGAAGCTGTGGCAGGAGGATGGGGAGTTTCAGGCCAGCTTGGGCTACATAGTGAGACCTTGCCTCAAATGACAATAACCTAGCAGATTGTGTCTTCTAAGGCTAAGTGGTGGAGGCAGCACAGACTGACCTCAACTTCATAGACGGCTGGCTCACTATGTGCATGGAGGTTGAACCTGGGGCCCCACACAAGCTGGACAGGTGCTTTACCCTGCTACAACTCTAGGTGAATTTTATCACCCTGTGTAAACCTTCAATGAAGCTCCTGCCTCAGTTTCCTTGTCTGTAGAATAGGGGCAGAGGTGAAAACAGCCCAGCCTCCTAGGGCTGTTGTGTAGTCAGCAGGCTCTGCAACGGAGCTGCTCAGCCTGCACTGGGCAGAGACAAGCTTTGTATTTCTACTTCCTGGTCTTTTCTTTGGGCCTTACTTTTTCTTTCCCTGGTGGGATTGAGTTTGGACTACAGTCTACTTAATTGGTTCCTCTGAGGACCAAGGTCATGCTTTGAGAAGTCAAGGTTATTATCCACCTGGAACTCTCAGCCTTGTTCTGGGCTGGGGTCTACCTCTGAGAACTTATCACCTTCCCTCAGGCAAAAGACCTGGCATGAGAAAGGGGTACTGTGTTTAAATGGAAAGTAGACTGCTGGCGACTGGCTGGGGCTTGCTGTTTTCCTTGGGGGGTGTGGGGCTGGTGGGAGGTGGTTTTTGTGGCTCTGTTTGAACAATGGTTGGGAACATGGGCCTGGAGCTCTCTTTGTAAATCATTTTTCAAAAAAAACAAGGTGGCATACACCTGTAGTCCCAGCACCACTTGGGAGGCAGAGGCAGGCAGATCTCTGTGAGTTCAAGGCCAGTCTGGCCTATATTGTGAGTTCTAGGTCAGCTGGTGCTACAGGGAAACGCTGTTTCAAAAAGACCAGAAAAAAAAAAAAGGAGATGTAAGAACATTTGATGTGCAAGCATAATCTGAGTTTGAATCCCCAGCACCCACATAAATAGCTGGGCATGGTTGCATGAGCCTGTTATCCCAGCATTAGGGAACAGAGACAGGCAGATCCAAGAGATAGGCTGATCAGCCAGCATAGCCAAAGGGTGAGCTTTGGGGTCAGCGAGAGATCCAGAGCAATAGAGGAAGACATCTGACATTCGCCTCTGGCCTCCACATGGGCATCTGCACTCCCACACATATGCATACACCACACACACATCGCACACACACACAATAAATTAGAAGGTATGTACAAAGCCTTGAGCAGGCCTATCATTCGGCTTCTAAAGATGCTGAGGAAGTAGGACCACAAGTTCAAGGCCTGTTTGTGCAACTTAGCAAGACCCTGTCTCAAAATAAAATGTTCAAAGAGGACTGGAGATGTAGCTCTGTGAAGTAATCACCTAGGCATCACTTAACATGAGCGAGGCTCTGCATTTAATCCCCAGTATCACCCCAAAGTAAAAGTACTAATGCATTTTATGCCTAATGTAAAAATACTGGAAATAGGAAAAGGTTGAGCCAAGAGTTCAGTCAGTGGTACAGTGTGGTAGCTTGGAGAGAGTGCTTGTGTTCCCTGGGTTCAAATCCTGGTTCTACAGTTAGGGTGAGTTACTTGGCTGCCCCGTGCCTCAGTTTCCCCTCATGGAATAATGTATCTAGTGAATGGTGGTAGTTTGAGAAATAGCGGATTGTCAGCAAGCACTGGGATTGGTGCTGTTTGGTGTACAGTTAGCACTCAATAGATGTAAGCAGTTGGAATCAGGTAGGATTTGATAGTGGATTTTTGTTGTGCCTGCTGAGAACATCTGGCCATGAACAGAAATCGGCATCAGACCAGTCCTGCAGGCCCTGGAGTGAGTTGGTCTTGGGGGCTGATTTAGCTCATGACACCTTCCAACTCTGTAACACCTGGAATATTGCAAGGGCCAGTGCCCCAGGGGGATCTTGGAGCTGGTGGAATTCTTCCTGGGGTAACACGTGGCCTTGGAAAGCAGCAGGGTTTTTGTTTTTTTTTTTTTTCCCTTTCCCAAGGACCTCATTGCTTTTCAAACTCATTCTTCTACCTTCCACCACTTCTGTCTCCTCCTCTGCCCCTCCTTCCTCACTCACCTCTCTCCCCCTGTGGATTGCTTTAGTGAGCTGGGGCGGGAGGAGTGGGGGATGTTCGATCCATGTACTGGATGGGAGTGCATCCATCATGACAGCATGAGGGTGGTTTGGGAACCTCTGGGGGGTTGGGCCCCAGGTGAGCTAGCTCAGTGTTCCTGGCTTGCCTTCTAGCCCTGCAGAAGGAAGGTGCAGCCTTCGCTGTGGCTGAGTTCACAGAAGCTGCAGACCCTTCCCAGAGCTGGCTGACCGCCTGTGTCACTGTTGGAGGTGGCTCGCCTTGGGAACGTAGTGGTGGGTGACTAAGTCCTTTTGTACCTGTGGTCTTGACTTGGTGAGTGAATTTCACAGATCTCCCCAGGGGGTGACTCAGGAACATCTCCACCTTACTGTGTCTCAGGAGGAGCTGGGGCACCCCTAGCCCTCTGGTCTCAGGGAAGGTGGCCTTGTGGGGGCCAAAACCAACCCTTGATATTCCTGATTTCTGTTCCCTCCCACACTGTATCTGCCTGTTCCTGCAAAATGTATCCAACCTTCGCAAGGCTGTCTGCTAGGGCCCTGAGCACCATCAGCCAACTGGATCTTGAGTTTGAGCACTTTATTTACTTACTTACTAATCGATTGGTTCATTTTCGTGGTGTTGGTTACTACACTGAGCTACTCCCCCAGGTTTCCTTTTCCTTTTTATTTTGAGACAAGAGTCTCATTAAGTTGCTCAGACTGACCGTCTGAGCAGGCCTTGGGCTTGGGATCCTCCTGCCTCAGTTCCTTGACTAGATGGAATGACAGGCCTGTACCACCACGCCTAGCTGGCTGTCACTCTTCTCTGTGTCCTCACTTGACCCTTGCATTCTAGTCTCTGCCCAGCAGCCAGAGAGATCCTGTTTCGGATTTTTATGTTTTTGCAGTGCTGAGGATAGAATCCAGGGCCTGGCATATGTAGGCAAGCACTTCCCTCCTAGGTCTCGGCACAGAGGACTCCTGTAAGACATCAGACTGTCTGTCTTCTACACAGCACCCTT